TTTTAGATTTACTAATAAAAATTAAAATTTATTATGAGTTAATTCCTTTTTTATTCAAAGAACCAAGAAGTACCATTTTCTATTTCTAGTTAAAAATGTAAAACAACTTTCCCTATGTTATAGTCACAGACATATCGTCAGCAAAGTTGAAAATATCAGAGTCTTACGTACTTAAAGAATTTATAAAAAATTATTAAAGAAAATTAAACTTTAAAGCACTTCAGTTTTAATATCAAAGCCAAAACTTAAATTAAAAATACTTATAGGGCTGTGTTTTGAATTAATAATACTTATAGAGCTGTGTTTTGAATTAATAATACTTATAAGGCTGTTGTTTTGAATTATCAACTGGTCAATTTTTTCGAAACACGGTACGGCATCATCAGTCAATAAAAAGACGGACATTTTTTTTTTAATTTTTTATTTTATTTAGGTACCCCAAGAAGTCCTAACGGTCTTCTCACAGAGTACCACAGAAGTGCATTTAACCAGTAAGTTCACGCCTCCTTCCTTACCGTGACGCGAATTATGTCCAAAGCTCGTTTCGAACCTGGATCTCTCTTGCTTATAAAGCAAGCGCTCTAACCACTGCGCCACGGCCGCACAACCCTGACGGAAATTCACTTTAAGCTACTATTATTACAGAAAGTAAGGCTTTCTCTGAATGACCCTATTTAAGATTTAACATAAACATTATCTCCACTACAAATGGTAAGATATCTCCACTAGTCTTCTTCTTTGTATAATTTTATACAATGAAGAAGAATAGGGGGGCACGACCCTATAAACAAAAAAATCTTTATTTTAGATAATTAAATAATTTTTTCTATATATTAAGTAAATTCTAAATGTAACAAAAATAAAAATAAAAAAATTGGGTGAAAATTGGTTATCCATTTTTGTGACAAAAATATTTCAAAATGCAGAAGATTACATAGAATAAAATTTTGCATATATATGCAAATTTTTATTCTATGTAATCTTCTGCATTTTGGAATATTTTTGGCACAAAATTGGATAACCAATTTTCACCCATTTTTTTTATTTTTATTTTAGTTACATTTAGAATTTACTTAATATATAGAAAAAAGTTATAAGTTTTTCATTGTATACCTCTAACATCAAGCCAATTATATATATAATTAGCTTGATGTTAGAGGTATGCAATGAACCTCAAAAACTTATAACTTACTTATTCCTTAGGGTCGTGCTTTATTTCTTTAAAGAATGCAAAAAAAAACACGTTATTTTTAACCCATCATAATGACTGAAAAATCGTTATATATTGTTTTTAACTTATACATTCATATAATTTTGAGGTTAATTGCACAACTTGATGCATAGTCAACAGTCTAAATATGATAAGTTTTGGTCAATTTGAAATATTCTGAAATATTCTTTCTGAAATATTTGTTTCTGAAATATTCTTGCCACAGTAAAGCAAATTTAGTACAATATTAATATCTCATAAAAAAGTTTTTAAGAAAAATTTATAGAAATTCTATTTATAATAATGATTATATTTGTCTTGAACCTTTTTATCTATTAAATATTGCACTATAGACTATGATTAAACATTAGATGCGACTTTATTTATAAAAAAATAGTTTCATAAATTGATAATCCATACCTGTTGTATGCATACTACATACCCTATCATACGCATACCATTCAACTACAAATGTCAAAACTTTTCGTTTCTAATTTTTCTCTAAAGTTCAGAGCCATTTAAATCACAAATTGCATACTAAAACTTAAGTTCAAAAAGAAATCCTAACTTCAAATTTTGATTTAGCTTTATTGAATATGCACATGAATGTGCACTCGATACAAACAAATGTTAAAAATCTCAGCAACAATGTCATCTTAACTATTCGGTTCCCTGTAATGTTTTTTATAAAACAGTCAATAATAAATTCAAGCTTTGAACCGTTTAACTTCTAATCAGAAACTATTTGCAAAAGCAAAAATTTATAATTAACTTTAAAATAGTGCTAAAAAAGGTGAAAAAAAGTACTCAAAATGGTTGCTATATGCGTTGCTAGGGGAGTTAAAATAACAGTAATCCAAAAAGGGGAAAGCGGGGCAACATGGCGAACGTTTTGAAAGCTCTGAGTTATTGCAAAACTCTCCGTCGTAAAGCAATAATACTTTCTCAGTATGTTTATGTTATCAAAATCCTTCATTGCCTGCATGAATTTTCAGTTTGCAAATATAACAATTTAAAATAAATATTAAATTAAAAAGTTCATAAATTTGTCGTCTGGTCACGTGACCGGGGCAAGATGAATTATTATGCAATTTTTACCTCCAATTTTATAAAATTTTAAAAACTACCAATAATTCTAAATAAAGTAACACAAAATAAACACAAATTGCAAAAAAATACTTCAAAAGAAGTTAAACCATCCATTATGAGAAACCGAAAGTGAGGAATTTTTTTTTAAGCGCAAAAAGTATACTTATGCGTAAAAGTTCCGTTAATAATATTTCAAAAAACCAATTGGTGTTTTAAAATACAAGATGCAAATACAGTTTCGTTTTCACCCAATTTTAAGAATTTTTGTTAAGTTGTTATATAAAAACCCATATTGCCCCAGTTGCCCCGCAATCCCCTAAATGAAATTTTGACCAATTTTGGTATCTATTTGAAAAAAATAAATATCACCAACAGTTTCTTTGATAAATTTTAGTTAAGTTGAGTGTATTTTTGAAAAAATAATTTTTTAAAACTATTTTCACTTTTTAATGGGGTTGTGCCTCCTTAACTCATATATGGTGAAGCAATTTGCGAATACATATTCGCAAATTGCTTCACCATAGCAACAATAGAAAATAGATCTTGTAATATCATACTTAATTAACAGAACTGAAAAGTTATTTCATCAGATTTGAAAAGTTATTTCATCATTCATAATTGAAAAGTTATTCATCCATCTTATTGATCTTTATTTATTTTTTATAAAAGCCATTTTTAAAAAAGATAGTTCTGCTTTGCAGTTTTCGTTGTTATAGGTATTGTTTGGTAAATTTTTAGAACTGTATAAAGATTAGGAAATATATAAATAAGGTTAGTGTCAACATTTTGGAAGCAGTGATGCAATCAATTTGTTTAAAACATACCAAAACTAAATAATGCTGAAATTGACTGCATCCACTAAATAGATGACCTCGTAGTGGCAAATCTCTTTCAGATGAACTAAACTCTTATAATCTTATTGTTTTTACGCCTCGTTTTTTGTTTCGCTACTCTTTGCTGAGATCGCACCCAAATTGCACTGCTTGCTGCTATTTATAAAGTACGTTTTGTCTTAAATATTTTAAATGCTTTTTGGTTTGGATTATTTTTTATTATCGTATTTCTTAGCGCAGCGCAGGTGGGCATTAGTTTGTAGTTTGGTGCTGGGCTCTTTCTCATTGGACCACCGTTTAACTTGGGGACCCTGAGCTTTAGCCTACTCAGCCTAATGGGAAATCCGCTACTGCTTACATTTTCTAACTTTTTTAGTTATAGGGAAAATTGTAATAATATTCTACAATTTGCTTGCAACTTTATGTTATCTGTACTTAAATATCGAATTGAGCATTATTGCTATGAATCTATACAATGTAAAAGCATTATAGTTTGGAACATTTTTTCCTTCCCAAGTTTTTTAAATTATTCTCAAAATTTAAAACTGATTTTTTAGAAAAATATTGTTTATAAATCTTATACCTTCCAATAACTTATTATTTATAACTATAATTCTGAGATTCTATTTATTTATTTTTTTTCTGTTGTATTATAATACAGGTTTAAATATCTTAACACATTACTTATTAAGTTTATAATTTTTCTTAAACTGAAATGTATTCTCCTCATCACTAGTAACTATTATTGTTACTACAACAATGTTTTTATTTTAATATATTTTAATAACTATTATTATTCTAACTGTTTTATGATTGTTATTGTTATTGTTATTTTATTATCAGAGTCGACGACATCGAGGGGGCCGGGAGCCCGTGGGACACGGGGGAACGTCCTTCACACTTTTTTTTTATTAAGCCCTTTTTTTTTTAAAGAGAATTTTTGATATAAAGGACTTTTTTTAAAAATTTACGGTTGTACCCTCCACTTCTAAAGCGGTTTCGTCGGCCCTGATAATATTAGTTTATTAGAGGAAAGCGGGGCAACATGGCGAATGGGGCAAGATGGGTTTTCATATAACAGCTCAACAAAAAATCTTAAAATTGGTTGAAAACGAAACTGTATTTGCATCTTGTATTTTAAAACACCAATTGGTTTTTTGAAATATTATCAACGCAATTTTATACGCATAAGTTTACTTTTTGCGCTTAAAAAAAAATTCCTCACTTTCGGTTTCTCATAATGGATGGTGTCCTTCAAGTTTAACTTCTTTAGAAGTAGTTTTTTGCGATTTGTGTTTATTTTGTGTTACTTTAGTTAGATTTTTTGGTAGTTTTTTAAAATTTTATAAAATTGGAGGTAAAAATTGCATAATAAGTCATCTTACCCCGGTCACGTGATCAGATAACAAATTTATGAACTTTTTATTTTAATATTTATTTCAAATTGTTATATTTGCAAACTGAAAATTCATGCAGGCAATGAAGGATTTTGATAACATAAACATACTGAGAAAGTATTATTGCTTTACGGCTGATAGTTTTGCAATAACTCAGAGCTTTCAAAACGTTCGCCATGTTGCCCCGCTTTCCCCTATACCTTTTTTTATATAATAAGTATATAATAGTTATAATATACTTTTCATTTGTCTTTTTATTTGTATTATAACAAACTCCTATTATTATCACTACTTTTATTATTATTGAATTTGACAGGTGTTAACTTTATATAAGTACTTATAATATTTGAAAATAACTTAAATGCAAGAGCTTTATACAGAATATATTTTATTTGTTTGGAGATTTTTAAATTTGCCTATTTCGTTTTTTTTTTACCATCAGAGCGTCGTTTTAAAATTTACTTTTACCGAAAACGGGAGCCACCGTTTAAATTTGGAGCCATCGTTTACGGAAAAAAAAGATCGCCGCAGCGTCGTAAAGTAACCATGGAATCGTGTTATTATTTACCATACCTAGTGTGCCAATAATGCAATAAAATAGTTTTTAAATTTATTGCTTTACTTTAAAAAAATGGAAAATGTTTTAAAAGATGCAGATTTTGAAAATCAGTTTAAAACTGCTAAGTCCTATCTTTTAAAGTTAGGTCAAAATTCACAAGTTACGTTGTAAGTATATTATAATATTTTAGTTTTTGAAATTAAGGCTAAAAAAATTTAGTTTACTGAGGAATTTATTAACAAAATAAATGCAATTTTAGTTTCACGCAGTTTTATAAAATGAAACAATTTTTTTTTTCCAACTCTTTTTGTTTATAATTATACCCTAAATTTATATGAAATAATTGCAAATTTAAAATAAGTTTATTTGTTATTACTATTAAAGTCATTATTAATCATTCATGAAACATTAAGTTCAATTTAACATGGTCAATCTATCAATCCAACATGATCAATTTATCAATGTATTTTGTTATATAGATAGTCTAAAAAAATAAATTAAATAAAATTTTTATTAGGGTAAGTAAATCACCACAAGTTAGTGCTATGGTTTGCATGATGTAATGTGGTTTGTTTCATAAATCATGATGTAAATCACTTTACATCATGCGAACCATAACACTAACTTGTGGTGGTTTATCATAAAAAAACTTGTGGTGGGTATCATAAAAAAAAATGTCTTCATTTTTATAAATATTTATGATAAATAAAACCTATTTTGATTTTTTTCTCTTTATAGCTTTTATTTAAATAATGTAAATCAAAATGCTATCCTTAGCTCCTTAATAACAAATAACCGATATTATACAGATACAAGATATTTATATCTAACAATAACTTGTAAAGTAATGTAAAGTATGTAAAGCCACAAAATTAATTACATCTTTAAAAAAATTGTATTATGTAATAATATTTCATACAAGGGATTTGTAGATGTTTTTTGTAATAAATGAAATTTGAAAACACTCATTTAGTACTCAAACTGTTCTATCAGTTTATGAATGTTAATTTATATGGTACAATTTTGTTTTTAGAATTTAATCTTGTCAATAGAGTAAATACAGTGTTCTGCAAGTCTATATAATTTAGTTCATTATAATAATAAAGATTTAGAAAATATTGAAAACATGATAATTTAACTGCTTGCAAAACCAGAAAAAAAGAATGTTAAAACGTAAAACCTTTTTTACATATATAATTTTTAAAATCATAATTTAAATGTAAAAAACTAATTTCATCTTCAATTTTTTAAACTTTAAAATGTTTTAAAAATCAACTGGGCTAATGTAAATCTAATATGTTAATCTAATGTTAATCTAATATGTTAAATATCTTATATGTTAATCTAATCTAATAAATGGTCATACAATGTGTACTTGCATGATATATATCTAAAATGGTGTTGATTGTTGGATGTATATCTACTATATATCTAGAAACATGTTGATAATCTAATACATGCTATATCTGATATATATCTAATATACTGCAGTGAATAGCCAAAACAGAATAACTTTAAAAGTTGCTTTAACGTTTTAAACTTTTAAAATTTTCAAAAACAATTTTTTGGAACATACTTTCTAACATATTTTATAGCAAAATAGTCTAGAAAACATGCCAAACATTGAGTATTATAAATGTATTTTTTGTTAATGATACAATGCATTGTTTCTATATTTATGCAGTTTTATTGTTAATTAGTACCAGCATTGTTGTACATTTGTAAGATTTATTTTTTGTTGTTGTAATTTTCAGGTATGATCATTTAGTTGATCTGATTGCAGATATTCTTGAACGAAAGCCAGATGTTGTTTCAAGTAAAGTCTATTAGTTTGATTTTTTAAAATTTGATTTGATATTTGCTTATAAGAATTTTTTTTTTATAATTTACTAAAGATGAGAGTTGCAGCACTGAAAATTACGCCCAATCAGCAATTTATATTAGGAGAATGAAATATAATTTTTTTTTAAAAGTAGACACTTTTAAAAAAAAATTATATTTCATTCTCCCAATATAAATTCTGGCCGATCAAATTTGATCAGCAAGAATTGCAAGGTAAACTTAAAAAATTTAAATACATTCAAAAACAGAAAGTTAAAATTATTAAGTTAGCAACTAAATGTTTTTGATTATTAGAATGAAAATAGTTTTAAAACCATAAAAATGTTTACATTATAAAAAAACAGCAAAAATGTTATAGAATATGCAAAAGTATAGAATATTTTGAAATCATAATTTTTTTTTCTGACTTAAAAGTCAAAAAAAAAAAAAAAAAAAAAAAAAGATAAATTTGGATTATTAATTAAAATGTTATTTCTAGTTATTATATCAAACATTTCTTTTAAAGTCCAAATAATAATAAATTTAGCTGTCAAAAAATTTAAGCAATATAACTAAATAGATAAATAAATAATGTTTACATTTGCTTTAATTGTTTAGTTATCTCAAAAGTTTAAGATCAATAAAGTCAAAACAATTTAAAAGTTTTTGTTTTAGGGTCATGGCTTCCCCTACTGTGACTTAAAGAAAACTTTTAACTTCAAAACTTCTTAACTCCAAAACCGTAACAGAAATTTATTTAGAATTTTCAAAGTAATATTTTATACTCAATTATTAACTAATTTATATTATTCAAATTTGAGTAAAATTTTTTTTTTAATGTTATTTTTAATTTTTTGTAAGATCTAGTACGTTTCATCACCTACTGTGATAAAGCACTGCCTACCGTAATCAATTCTCCAGCTACCATTTATTAAAAAAATCGTGTATTTTAATTTTAGTTTTATTTATATAAATCAAAAAACAAATACATAAATATAATGATTACAAAACAAAGAAGACAATTGGTTCTAAAAAAAGCAAACAAAGCAAAAAAAAACAAAGAACAATTGATTCTAAAATTATCCACCAAAGCTTTTTTCTGAAATTAAACTTTTTTTATTTTAAATTCTTTTTTTAAATATTTTTTTTGTTTTTTTTGTTTATTTTTATTTTTGTAACAGGTTGTTTTCTTTTAGATTTTTCTTGTTTTTCTTTTTCTTTCAATTCTTTTTTTTCAGCAGCTTTGTTTTTATGTTCTGTTCAATTTTTTGTTTATTTTCTTCTCCCTTTGCATTTTTTTTAGTTATTCAAATAACTAAAAAAAATGCAAAGTCTCTAACCATTTAGATGAAGATCCAACGCTCAGTAATCGTTCAACTTAATTCAGCCTTTTTTTTGTGATTGATTGTTTTGGCCATAAAAGAAAGTCATGTAATGGATTTACATCTTTTATTATTTATTTATTTGAATGTGGTGGATCTGTTGCTGATTTACTTTCACCGGATTCTTCAATTATTAAGTTTTTTCTGAGTTTGCTAAAAATTACTAGAAACTTTTTCATTTTGCATACTGCTAATATCTAAATATGAGTCTTTATTAATTTCATTGTTCAATACATATTGATTTCATTGTTAAATAATTTACTGGTTTGTTTGGAGCTATTGTTAAATTTCAGTTTTTTCCAAAAATTAAATAATTCTTTGAAGTCAGTTTTTCCTCTCCATTCTTTATTTCTAGTTTTTTCAAACTGGAACAATACTTCAGATGCAACATTGTTTTCAAATATGTTTTTCACATTATTGTGGCTTGAAGCATTCGTCTCATTATTATCAATTATAAAATTGAATTTTAACATGTTGAATTACTTTTTTAAAATCAACATTGTTTGCATTAAATGGGAATATTCCTGTTGACCTAAATCCGCTAATAATATTTTTTTTCATATTTGGATCCATAACAAAATTATTCAACAACATTGGTTCATTTTCTCTGCGAATTTCATTAAAATTGTTATCCAATTTAAATTGATGATAAATGTTCTACCTTTTTTTTTTATTGGTCTGTAAACTGACACATCTAATGGTTCTAAGATGTATGCAGCATTAGAAAATAATAAAATCAAATCAATTCTTTCCGAAGAGCAATACATGTTAAGTCCATTAGACAGATGCAAGTGATGTCCATCTATAAAAATATATATTGGTAATTGTGTATTAATAGATTTCAAATATGGTACTAATACATTTGTGAAGTACTTATAAAAGGCATTCACCAGTCATCCAGCCGTTGTCGCTTTTACCGAGAGTTTTATAACATTGACATTGACAATGTCAATGTTATAAAACTTTTTATCGGCATAAAATGCTACAGGCGGAAACTTACTTTACTCCAGGAATTTTTAAAGCCGTAAATTAAGAGTCGTAAAATATTTTTCAATTCAATGTTGTAAAACTTTTCTGCATTAAATTTTGCTGATATCTATGCTCTGAATTTACTTTTAGAAATCTATTGTCTAAATCTAATGTATTTTGAGTTGAAATTTCTAATCTAATTTATTTTGAGTTGAAATTTCTAAAATATCATAGTTATTTCTAAAGAAATAACTATGAAATAACATAGAAATTTCATAGAAATAACATAGTAATAACATAGAAACTATAAAATAACATAGAAATATGAAATAACATAGAAATTTCTAAAATATCATATCAAACTGAAGTTTTAAATCCAGTTTTCTCATGAACTTGGACTGTTCCAATTAAAGAATATTGCTTTAGAAAATTTGGCAAATCAGAGACAACCATGAGAAGTAAAGCTGTTCAAACATTATTTAATCTGTTAAAAATACAATTTAAAAGTAAAAAAATGGAATTGTCATTAATTTTTAACCCTACCCCATAACAAAATTTGTATAGTTTTTCTATAAAAATAACTTATACTATTTTCTATAGGCATTTTGAAACAAATGGCCTATAGAAATAGAGGTTTTTTAAATTACCAATTGCAATGCAATAAAATATTCTTCAGACTTTTTGTAGTTAGAATTCTAAGACCGTTTGTTTCAAAATTCTATAGAAAATTGTGTTGATTTAAATATAGAAAATCTATGCACATTTTTGTATATTTTTTATTGGAAGAAAAAATAGGAAAAATTGCATAAATAAACTTTTAAAAAAAAACGACTTTAAATATTAAATAATTAAAAGAATTATTCAAAAACTCAAATTCTTATAACAAAAATTTATTTAGACACAAATAAACATTTAAATATAAAACTCTTTTGATGCTTTCTGATTAGAATTTTATCCACAATAAGTTTTGATGTGCTTCCATACCATAGACAATATGAGAAACTTTAAAAACAAGTTGTTCATGATCTCTAAACACTTTCTGAATAAGAAGAAAAATTTTTGATGTATTTTGTTATCTGACTTTATCAAAAATATTTGAGCTCATACCATATTCAAGCATCAAAGGTAATTTCTAGAACTTTAATAAATCTGTTTATAGTTTGACCACTCAATTTACTATTATGAATTGCATATAACCTCTGCATAAATTTTAAATGGAGAAATCTTTTGTCTGTGCATTTTGAGTTTGTCTAAACTAAAGTTGATCTGATATTTGGATCAATAAATAGTCCTGATAAATCTAGCTACAAGGGAGTGTTTCTACATCGAATATCTTATAGCCTGACTCGCAACGGAGTGCTGCTATATTGACTGAAAAATAGCCTGACTCGCAAGGGAGTGCTGCTACATCAACTGACAAATAGCCTGACTCGCAAGGGAGTGCTGCTACAACGACTGACAAATAGCCTGACTCACAAGGGAGTGCTGCTACATCGACTGAGGGTTTGGTTTGGGCAAGCAGTCTATCATTTAAAAAAAAAAAAAATTTAATTTTTTAAACTTTTTCTGGTCTGGTTTATTAATGCGCTCTTTAAAACTACAGTTTATGGGAAACTCTTTCTGACTACCATGCAAGAGTATATATATTAGGGCTGTACCGGATTTAATATTTTCAAATCCGCCCGGAGCCGGATTTGCCGGATTTCTACTGACATCCGGCCAGAATCGGAGCCGGAGCCGGATTTTAAAAGAAAACTACAGGAGCCAAAATCCTGTACATCCCAACTTAGTGTTGAGCATGGTCAACAATGTGGACCATGCTCAACACTAAGTAATATTATTAACATCATTTTATTATTATTGAAGTATTATTAATAATTATTATAATACAAGTAGAATTAAATAAAAATAATAGCTGTAATAACAGCGAATAAAAGTAATAGTGAAGATTATAAAAAGTATAACTATACTATAATATAGCCTATATTATTAATAATAATAACAATAATAACAGTAAATATTACAACAACAATAATAACAATAATAACAACAACAATAATATAAAAAAACAGTAATAAAAAAAAAAAATTATAGCAATATTAACAACAGTTAGTAATATTTATAATGATAACAGTATAGTAGTAATAATACTAAGAATAATAGTGATGAAGAGAAAATATTTCAGTTTAAGAAAGATGAAAATAATAAATTAATGATTATTTATATTTGCTAACTTAAACTATTTTTTAGAAAAATATTGTTTATAAATCTTATACTTTTCATCAACTTATTATTTATAACCTTAACTCAAAGCTCCTATTTATCTAATTTTTTCCTCTTTTCTGTTGTATTTTAATATTTTTTGATAAACTTAACAAATTTAACAAAAAATTTTAAAACACAACAGAAAAGAAAAAAAAAAAATAGATATAGATAGAAGCTCAGAATTAGGGTTATAAATAATAAGTTGAAGAAAAGTATAAAATTAATAAGTAATATTTTTCTAAAAAATAGTTAATGAGAGCAGTTTTAAATTTAGAGAATGAGTTACATTTCTTACATGACAAATTCAGAAAGGAAAATATTGATAATAAAATGGCTTGAATTTAAAATTTATCAAGAAATGTGCACTGAATTAAAATGA